ACTTGATGTCTGTTGTGATGAGGATGATGATGTTCTTGGCACAGGTCATGGTTGAGGAGACGTGGTTGGTTGTGAAGAGGATGTTTCGTGTGATGATTGCGCATTTTGTGAATGACTAGTTGACTGAGGGATCAATTGATCCTGTGATGATTGACTGGCTAGCTGAGGTCACTGTGTAGAGGATGACCTGTTGACATCAGAGCCTGTGGGGTCCTGTGAGTTATCCTTCGACCTTAATGTGGGAGGTGCACGACCTGGCTCAGGGTTCGTTGGTGGTGGTGGTGGAATTGGGTTTAACGTCGTGCTTGAGAATATTTCGCTCATATGACGACGTGCATGCGTGTGTATGTGTATGTGCGGTTGCTTGTACTAGCCCAGACTGATGCTGGTTTTATAGTGCTAACCCACTGAGATACCATGCCGCAGTGAAGCATGAATACCCCACTCAGACACATTATACTGACTCCGAGCCGACCAGTCCTTGTTGTACCCATTAATGCCGAGCGCCAGGCAGGGACCAACAAGTACCATATTTTAACGTCTTTTGGTATGACGCGGTCGGGGATCGAACCCGCGACCTTCCGCACTCAGGGTTCGTTGGTATGTCTTGGTTATAATTAGTGCCTGACTGTCTTGAGGCGTTTGTCATGTCTGCCCAAATTAGCAGGATTGTGTAGATACACCTGAAAAGTTAGGCTCTTGTGACTTCGGGTGTTGGTATGCCTTGTTTATTTCTTGACTTGTTTCCATGTTCTCTCGAGCAATTGCTTTGGCATCTTTGAGGTTTTCGAGTAGATGTTTCAAGTGCGTTTCTGCATCTTTACCAAGTGACGGTTTGGGCAGTAGTGAGATATCGAATGGCAAATGCATTTTTCTACCAAAGAGCAGATAGTGAGGCGAGTAACTGGTGGACTGACTTGGTGTGTTCCTCATGGCCATAAGTACACATGGGAGTATGTCAGCCCAGTTTGTCTGTTCAGACTTGCAGTATTACGCCTTTCTACCATTCCATTAGTTTGTGGATGATACGAGCTTGTGTAATGGTGTCGGACCTCGAAGATCTCACAGATAGCATTGACCAACTTTGAGGTAAACTGGCATCCTCTATCTGTAAGCAATGTTCGTGGTGCACCATACCGTGTAAAGACCTCATTGAAGAGAACTTTAGCTACTTCAACAGCATCCTGAGTTTTAAATGGAAAGGCTTCTATCCATCGTGAAAATGAATCAATGGCCACAAGTATATACTTGTGTCCTTCTTTGGTCATAGGAAGGGGTCCAAGAATGTCCACATGAAGCCTGGAGAAGTTGTCCTCAATGGGCATAGGAACCATTGGGGCTGGTTTGGAATGTGCGAATCGTTTGGACTTTTGGCATGCTTCACAGGACTTGATATAGTCTTCTATTTCTTGGTACATTCCAGGCCAGTAATATTTTGTCATGATGGCTTGACGTGTTGAGTCACGACCAAAGTGACATCTACCTGCATTGGAATCATGATGTGCATATAACAGTTTCTTTCTGTCTACTTTTGGTACTGCAAGCTGTGTGACAGTAGGTGGTCGGTTGGTTTTATGTCCTCTATGTTTTGGTAGGAAGAAGTGATAGACTATGCCGTCAAGGAGTTCATATTCCTGTGAACGTCCTTGGAGACCATTGATTTGAGATGCTGTGTAGTTGGCTGGTATCTCACCTTTTTCAAGGTAATCAATGATAAGTCGCAGGTCACTTGAATTTCTTTACCTCTCAGCTAGGTCATTGTCGGGAATGTCTGTGTCAACAGATTGCACGAATGGACCTGTTTGAGGGGGCTCTTTGTGATACACAAAGTTAACAGAAAGATGTTTTGACTCTGGTTTGTCTGAATGCCTTTGTTTCTCTTCAAGATAGAGGAATTAGAGAGAGAAGGTTTGGTGGCTCAGTGACTCTTGGAAGGTATGACCGCTTCAGCATAGGTGAAGTTTTTTTTTAAGTAGATGTTGGAGGAGAAGGTACACTGATAGTTACTGGAGGAGATGGAAACTCATCAGTGACAGGTGCTGTGAGTTGTGCAGGGTATGGAATTCTTGATACAGCATCTGCATTGGTGTTTGCCTTACCTGCTCGATGTTCTATCTCAAAGTCATACTCCTGTAGCATGATTGACCATCTGGCAAGACGACCTGATTCGGCTTTAATGTCTTTCAGCCATTGCATCTGCGTTGAGGTCTGTCATACTGAGAGTTTGACTGGTGCTGGGGTTGGTTAAAACGAGTTGGGAGATTTGGTTGATATGCATGGGGTGGATGGTTGGGAAAGTTTGACTGGCTTGGAGGTGCTGTCTGTACATGGTGGGGTTGGCTATGGTGATACTGCCATTTTGATGGTAAGGTCGTTGCTGGTATTGTTGATGATTGAAGGGCCGATGCGATTTCTTCCTTTGTGCTGGCATAGGAGCAGGAGCTGTGGTAGCTACTGTCTGTTCGTGTCTGACTTCTTAAAAGGGATTTTAACTTGATCGACTAGGTTCGCTTGTGACGCCATCAAACTTTCATTGCCTTCTCGGCGAGTTGGGCGTGGTGGCGGACTTCTTCCATGGATTTGGGATCTTTGTTATACACCCACTGCTTGAGTGATGGTAGCAGTCCGTTGACTGTGATGGCTACCATTGGTTTCGCAGGGATGCCTGTTTGTAATGTGGCCTCTTGCACCCTGCTGAGGTAATTTTCCACTCTCTCTGTGACTCTTTGACTGACTGACAAAACTGTCAGGTCAAAATGACCTGATCGGCTGAACCGCTCGAAAAATGCTTGCTTGACTTCCCAGGTCAGACTTGTGGTCATTTGACAGTGCCTGGTGCCAATGCTTTGCTGGGCCTTCGAGGAGGAAGGGAAGCATCAGGCAAGCCTTTTGGTCAGAAGCTTGTTGCAGCTTTGTCCAGGATTCAAAGTCTGCCCACCATGTAGTGGCATCTCGTGTTCCCGAGTAGCGTGGTAATTGTAGATGGGACATGGTCGATGTTGCTGGAGGACTAATATAGGCTGGTGCTGACAAGGTCGAGGCATTTGACGTGGTAGTTGGAGTTCCCGCCGTGGACGATGAAGTAGTTGTTGTTGATGATGATGATGGGGACTTGGGTTATAATGGTTTTTGTATCGTGAAGATATTTGAATGTTCACCATTGAACTCACCTTGATAATTGCGGAGCCTCTCTCTGTAGTTCTCTGGTGTTCTGCCAGTCATTGACCTGGTCCAGGACGGATCCTCTCACCATTTGACGTAGGGCTCGTATGAGCGCTTATCCTTGGGTGTGTTGCTACATGGTTCAAATGGTACATACTATGGTAATCGCGTGACAGAACGCACATCTCACCCGCTCTGTCACTTATACACATTCAGAAGTCGGACGGCGATTTTATGTTTTCGTTGGTGAGGTGATGACCCGATTACCCGCACAGTCCGTCCGCTTCTGTCGATGATCTGGTTCCATCTCGTCCCCCTGACTGGTCTCCCTGCTTGGTCCCTATATGGCATTATATCCAGGGTGACATATGAAGTTTTACAGAAACCTCTTGAAATGGTTTACGCTATGACACCGTTTTTTTATACAACGTTTGCTGCCCGTCGCAGTATATTGACAGCTGACAAGATCGGCGATCACAACCACCAGTATATAGACTACACTCAGTGCAATATGGAGGTGTCGGTATAGATACTCACTACAAAGATAAGTTGGTTTCCGGAACACTGAAACTGAGAGGAAACGGCCTGGAAACCACCATTTCCAGTTGGTTTCCAGGTAGTTTCCTATAGTTTCATTGTGGTTTCCATGAAAACTGAAAGTGAATTTTGCACCATTTCCGGATGGTTTCCAGTGCGATTCATTACCCACTCCTCCAAGCAGGATCCAGCTGGTTTCCATGTTTTAGTTTCATTGTGGTTTCCATGAAAACTGAGACTGAATTTTGCACCATTTCCGGATGGTTTCCAGTGCGATTCATTACCCACTCCTCCAAGCAGGATCCTGCTGGTTTCCATCTTTTAGTTTACTGTAGGGTTGAACCTGGTTTCCATGTTTTAGTTTATTGTAGGTTTCAACCTGGTTTCCATATTTTCGTTTATTGTAGGTTTCAAACTGGTTTCCATGTTTCGTTTATTGTTGGTTTCAACCTAGTTTCCAGGTCATAACATGGTTTCCGTGAAAACTACATTTTGCACCAGTTGGTATCCATGTCGGAACTTTACCCACTCCTCCATTGAGGCTCCTGCTGGTTTCAATGTGTTTAGTTTATTGTAGTTTCCAACTTGTAACCTGGTTTCCATGAAACTGAATGCTGGCTATTTACCTGCTCCCCCAGGTGTTTCATGCATCAGATATCAAATCTGGTATTGTAAAACCTTTAGGATGACAAAAAAACAGAATAGAACACAAATTCATGAATGACAAGTTTATTAACAGTCAACAAATCTCAACAACTATGCACCCATACATTAATAAAGCACTAAAAATAAGTATGCCATGCTTCCATGCTTTTTTCCCTTTGAAAAAAAATATAATATTTGTTTAAAATTCCAAGCATGATTTTGTCACACATTGAACATAGTTAAATTAATTATGTATCTAGCTACATGTTTATAACATCAGCCGAAAGGGACATCACCAGGCATAAGAGTAAGTGAGTATAGTTTTACTCCGCTTTTAACAATATTCAAGCAACATCACAGCATGGGACATCAGAAATGCACGTCTCATGAATCATAACCAACAGTGTTGTTCAGCTGGTCTTCTTCAACTGAACTTTTCACTGCCCAGCTGGGAATGTCCAGTGGCAGATTAGCTTGTTTGACTTCCGTGGGATGTCTTCTGGCAGTAGCCTTAAACAACCGCTGGTAGTCCAATTGCTGCTTATATGATGACAGTTTTTTACTTTCCCACGAGAAAGCAGTTGACAACAGAAGGTTTTCATCTCCTTCTCCCGACACAATAGGTGATGTCATCTCTTTCCTCAAAAGAGGAAAAACTTTCCCCATCTTTTCTTCTCCGGCCAGTCTATTGTTGCAATGGCCTTCATCCTGCTTTCCAGTTTCTGAAATTTAGAAAACGATAAACAATCAGTACAAACAAGCATTCCTCAAAAATATCCGTAGCTAGAGAAAAGAAAACCACCCAATATTGCTTTAGGAAAAATAAATTGTAAGGAAGTAGTAATAAGAAATCTAACTAATCATTTGACCTGAAAAGTGACAAAGATATCAATCACAGAACAACTTAATGAAATTTGAAAGCGTACAGACACAAGTGAGAGAAGGACATATTTCCTTAGCTTGGGTTGGACATTTCATGACTGATTCTCTTTCAGTAAATAATAAATGTGACTTATGGGAAACTTACATTGAATCAATAACATATGTTATGAATGCTCACTAAATTCATGAAATACTGGTCACTGTCATTGCATATTTATCTGCAAAATGTTCCTGTGAAAGCCATCTTATCTTCTGAATGTTACATAAAACATGTTTAGATATTATGCGTATAGAACTATGAATTATCCATTATTGTGAAAATAATGTGAAAGGACATATTTTATTACACAGTTGGTTTTGGTCTGGACATTTCACCTTGCACACATCAATTAACATTTTTTACTAACATCACCACATTTGTTAGTAGATGCAAATACATTGTCAAATGTGAGATATTAGATTGGGGGAACACCCATTCAGTTTCTAGTCGACCAGAATGACCCCACATTTAAAAAAACAACTATACACTGGTGCTTTACTATTTAAAACTTATGAAAAAATGTTCATTTGAAATTTCTTTTGAATGTCACAGATCAATACAAGAAATTACATTTGCTTCCAATTTTTTCCAATCAAGTTTCTGTTAAAATTTTAACCTGTGTAAGATTAGAATTTAGAATGATTAGAATTTATGTACTTACAGATCTGACCCCTTTGCTGTTCTTAGCAGACAACCTGTGGGCCCCTGCTTTTCCACTTCGTTGTCTTCTCAGGTCATCCCTCTTGTTGGTCCACAACCGCCAAAATGCTTCTGAAAGGAGATATGTATAAGTAGAAAGTATTTCCATTTGGATGTTAAAAATAGTCGTTGTTTTTATGTATTTTTCCGATTTATAGGATTTACATTATTTTATTAATGCAAAGATGCATTGACATAATCAGAAATCTCAAAGAAGGTATAGCTTTTGAATTCAATAGTGAGAAACAGTTGTGCATTTTATAGCTCCCTTTATAGCCAATGGTTCTTGAGAAAGGTCGAACAAGAAAACAGATGACAAACAGTTGCCCTGCCATGCCCATTCATTTCATTCCTGGCTGAAAAGGTCAAAAGTTGGGTGATAAAATTATTCTAAAATAGTGTGCTGAATAGCTATAAGATGGCATACCTTCACAGGTACCAACTGCCCAACCCTCACTACTCTCTTCATGCCTTCTTCATCTTCTTCTTTGCTGCAAAAGTAACAGTATGAAAGTGATTATTGCTCATTTTATCAAAATATGTGAAACATTGTTTAGCATTGTTAGTACTAGTGAAGACTGGATAAAATAACTTTATTTCACAATTACATTTTAAAGAAACAATAATATTTGAAATTATATTACTGAAATAATATGGCTGTGCATTGCAAATTCTGTAGAGAGGATTACAAAATGACATGAATGTAGTGCTAACACAAATATGAAAGATGTTCATCTCCAACATGGCCATAACTTGCTGTAATTTCTTTTCATGTACACCCAATAATTTTGTATACTGAAGGATTTGAGTTACCTGTTGTAGGTCAAAATCAGTTGGTCATCGGTCGCCTTCTTCAATTTTTCCACCACTGCCCTAATGGAATGCTGGAAATGTACAAATTAATCGATTAAGAAACAATAAGGCGAAAATAGAAGAATAAATATCAAGTTGCAAATTGTAGAATACAATAATATGAAAAGAAACCAGGTATGACTAATTCATATATTATTTTAGATTGACAATGTATCAGTGTATCCCTATTAATAACAAATCCTATTAAACTTTCTATGCAAACTTTTTGACATAAGACCGCACTAATCCAGACAGACCACACAGGAACTTCCCCTTACAGAATACAGGACCGCACTAATCCACACAGACCACACAGGGAAATCACCTTACAGGACACATCACCGCACTGATGCACACAGACTAGACAGGAACTTCCCGTTAAAGAATACAGGACCGCACTGGTACAGACAGACGAAACAGAGTCAGGGTGTTACAGGATACAGGACCGCACTGGTACAGACAGACCAAACAGGGTCAGGGTGTTACAGGATACAGGACCGCACTGGTACAGACAGACCAAACAGGGTCAGGGTGTTACAGGATACAGGACCGCACTGGTACAGACAGACCAAACAGGGTCAGGGTGTTACAGGATACAGGACCGCACTGGTACAGACAGACCAAACAGGGTCAGGGTGTTACAGGATACAGGACCGCACTGGTACAGACAGACCAAAACAGGGTCAGGGTGTTACAGGATACAGGACCGCACTGGTGTTACAGACAGACCAAACAGGGTCAGGGTGTTACAGAATACAGGACCGCACTGGTACAGACAGACCAAACAGGGTCAGGGTGTTACAGGATACAGGACCGCACTGGTACAGACAGACCAAACAGGGTCAGGGTGTTACAGGATACAGGACCGCACTGGTACAGACAGACCAAACAGGGTCAGGGTGTTACAGGATACAGGACCGCACTGGTACAGACAGACCAAACAGGGTCAGGGTGTTACAGGATACAGGACCGCACTGGTACAGACAGACCAAACAGGGTCAGGGTGTTACAGGATACAGGACCGCACTGGTACAGACAGACCACAACAGACCAAACAGGGTCAGGGTGTTACAGGAGGGACCGCACTGGTACAGACATACCAAACAGGGTCAGGGTGTTACAGGATACAGGACATACAGACAGACCAAACAGGGTCAGGGTGTTACAGGATACAGGACCGCACTGGTACAGACAGACCAAACAGGGTCAGGGTGTTACAGAGGACCGCACTGGTACAGGACCGGGGATACAGACAGACCAAACAGGGTCAGGGTGTTACAGAATACAGGACCGCACTGGTACAGACAGACCAAACAGGGTCAGGGTGTTACAGAATACAGGACCGCACTGGTACAGACAGACCAAAACAGGGTCAGGGTGTTACAGGATACAGGACCGCACTGGTACAGACAGACAGACAGGGTCAGTCAGGGTGTTACAGGAACAGACCAAACAGTCAGGGTGTTACAGGATACAGGACCGCACTGGTACAGACAGACCAAACAGGGTCAGGGTGTTACAGAATACAGGACCGCACTGGTACAGACAGACCAAACAGGGTCAGGGTGTTACAGGATACAGGACCGCACTGGTACAGACAGACCAAACAGGGTCAGGGTGTTACAGGATACAGGACCGCACTGGTACAGACAGACCAAACAGGGTCAGGGTGTTACAGGATACAGGACCGCACTGGTACAGACAGACCAAACAGGGTCAGGGTGTTACAGGATACAGGACCGCACTGGTGGTACAGACAGACCAAACAGGGTCAGGGTGTTACAGGATACAGGACCGCACTGGTACAGACAGACCAAACAGGGTCAGGGTGTTACAGGATACAGGACCGCACTGGTACAGACAGACCAAACAGGGTCAGGGTGTTACAGGATACAGGACCGCACTGGTACAGACAGGACCAAAGACAGGGTCAGGGTGTTACAGGATACAGGACCGCACTGGTACAGACAGACCAAACAGGGTCAGGGTGTTACAGGATACAGGACCGCACTGGTACAGACAGGCCAAACAGAGGTCAGGGTGTTACAGGATACAGGACCGCACTGGTACAGACAGACCAAACAGGGTCAGGGTGTTACAGGATACAGGACCGCACTGGTACAGACAGACCAAACAGGGTCAGGGTGTTACAGGATACAGGACCGCACTGGTACAGACAGACCAAACAGGGTCAGGGTGTTACAGGATACAGGACCGCACTGGTACAGACAGACCAAACAGAGTCAGGGTGTTACAGAATACAGGACCGCACTGGTACAGACAGACCAAACAGGGTCAGGGTGTTACAGGATACAGGACCGCAGTGGTGCCGGACACTATACAAATGTCAATACATTTGTTGTACTAATCATTCAACACACAACGAGTATTGCATACTCAAAATGATTACACTTTACAGACTGATTATAGCATTACATTCACTCAGAATAACGAACGTTATTCCACACACAAACAAGTGATTATGCTAATAGCCATCTAAGCACCTGAATACATCCTTGTTACTACAATGTAGTACAACAATTCACTTACAATTCAGTGGTGGGATTTACATAAAAGTGCTACTGTATTTGACAATTCACTATGCCACACAACTATCTGTACATTGGAACATTATAAAGCAACGCAATAACCATTTATAAATAGTTCACAAATACCGCAACCAACCATACCACAAGTATACCCTCTCATGACTGCACTTATTACACGTGACATTCACCTTGTCACATTTTCCATGCTTTCCCTTCAGCACTCGGCCCACCTTCCATGCTTTTCACTGAGTCCTGCTACATACAAGCACCCAACCACGACATACAGTCTAACCACACTAAAACATAATATATACAGTCAAACCAAATTACTATGTGGTCTTGACAATGTAATTTATAGCAGTTAGGTCTTCTTACATACTGACTTATGAAGTCATTTCTTTCATTTAAAATTGGTGGAGATAGATAGTTATAACACATCAATGTCAGATTTATTTAATTAATAAATGGGCTTATTTGTAGTAAGCCAAATATAACACTCTTGGTTTTCTTGATATTAACCTTCAACCTCCATGTTTTAGAATACTGACCTAAAATATCTAAACAATGCTGTAAGTCAGTAGGATTCTCTGCAAATAAAACTGTATCATAAAAAAGTAAATACACTTTACAAATGTCAGCATTATTACCTAATTCTATACCTTTACAGTCACTTTCATTCATAACATTTTCAACACCATTCAAATAAAGGGAAAATAGTAATGGTGACAGATTTCCTTCCTGACGAACTCCTTTGCCAGAAGTACAAAAGCCAGAAAGATCACCATATTTTAAACTTGATTTTATATTTCGATATAACTTTAGTAGGAATACTAATACCATATGACCGTATTTTTTGCCAAAGACCTACACGCCAAACGTTATGAAATGTTTTTGGAAGTCTACAAAAAACGCAAGAAAGTTTCTTCTGTTCAGATCTTCAAATATCAATTAATGGATTTAACACAAAAATATTATCAATTGTGGAATACAGTTTTCTAAATGATAGAATTATCATGAACAAGAGTAGTCAGGCGGTCAAATAAAACCAAATTTAAAGTGAATAATTTACCTAATCATGACAACATTGTGATTGGTCTATAAGTTTCAGTATCAATCTACTGCCTTTCATTCTGTAAATAGGTCTGATTACACCAACTGTCCATCTTTCTGGGATAATTCCTGACTCTAAAATATACTCAGCAGCAACAAAAAACGTCAGCACGAATTCACAATTAGATAGCACTGTATTCAAATCATTACAGAAATGGACATAATAAGCGGATCAAAACCATTTTTTGTGTACAATATCCTGACACATCAATGAATAACTCAGCACAATTTCAAGACATTACGTGACGTGCGAAATGTGGTATGACGTGGGGTCTGAGAGCTTGGTCGATGTAGCGCACCGCTGTGATGCCGCCTCCTCTCCCTGGTCCAAGGTTCTGGAACACCACAGGACCCACTCTTTGGTTCAGGCCTATTCCACACCGTACCATGATGCTTCCTCTCCCCATGAGTCTTTTTCCATAACACATAGGTCCGAGTAATGCTGGCCACGTCGTCGCCATATTCTTGTTCTGCAATCTGCAGTTGATACGCAGTACCTACTCTCATCTGTGAACAGAACAGTTCTCCATTGCCTGTATCGCCAGTTTTAGTGTTGTAGGGCAAACTGTAGACATTCACGCCGATGAAGGTGGTTTAGATTGGACTTAATTTATGATAGTTTCAGGGAAAGTTTGTTTCACAAGTGAGGATAGGTCCACGGTAAGGTCTACGGCAATGGAGGTTCCCGCTGTCGGTGTACTGTAACAGTACTGATTGGTCTTCTGTGTGTTCCCACTGTCTGGCGTGCTGTTTCGGATGCCTGCATAAAGGCATTCTGTACATGCTGTCGCACAACATGGTGGTCTTGTCGTCTTGTGGTCACCCTTGGTCTGCCAGTACGGGGGCGATCATTTGTGGTGTTGGTGGCCCGGAAACGTTGCTGCAGCATGTAGATGGTCCGAACGTTGACCTTGAAGTGATTGGCAACGGCTTGTGCAGTGTGGCCAGCTTCAAGTCTTCCTAGTGCCTGGTTCCTCTGAGCTGTCGTGAGTCGCGGCATCCTGCTGACGTTGTAATGTGAATGTTTCAACCAGGTTTCGGAGTGCATTTTATAGGGCTGGCCCTTGTGAACAGCACGTGCAGCATGAGTTGCATGAAAAACATGGACAACACCGTACCATCTCCGATATCAGGTTGCGTTTCCTGGGTTCCATTCTGAGTTTGGGAAGAAATGTCTTTGCTCAGGTAAAGTTGGAGATGTTGTCAAAAATATACAATCAAAACAGTAATTGAGTTTACACTTATCCGTTTCTGCGAAGGAAAATTCCAAACTGACGTTACTTTTGCTGCTTAGTATATAATTAAACAATCCATAATACAAATGAATCATAGAATCTTTGGTGGAGATGATATGTTCACTCTCAATCTGGTCTAGTTCTGCAGATTTACCTCTCTTTAACTTATTAATAGCACTGCGGATTTCAGTTCTTGATATTTCCTCATTAAGCACATTACAGTCTAGTATATTCGGTCCCGAATGACAACACTGTCATCTTCAGAGTAATTCAGGTTTTTAAAATATTCAAACAATTCATCTAAGGTTACACAGTTCTCTTCAGAGTTCTAACTAGTTTTGAAAACTTTCCAAAAATCTTTAAAGTTGTTTTTGGCCATTAGTGAAAATGTTATTCCTGTTTCTGACACATGCATGGAAGAGAATCTTTAATTGTCTTTTTATATATCTTATCTGAATCTCGCATCATATTACGAGTATCTTCAGATAAAGAACTTTGATTTGCTTTTCTAAATTGTCTTTTAACCAATCGGCATTCTCTTACATACCATCGAAAATTTGTCGGAGTTTTACTGGTTCCTTGGTTTGTGAGTCCAAAAGTCTTCGACAAAGTCAGAGACAGCTGTGTTTACATTCCATGCTTGGTCACCTTGACCTGATGTGCAAGTTGCAGCTTGCCTGTCAGGGTGTCAATCGCAACTTGAATACAAAGTCCTGAGATTGGCTTCTCCAACTAATCCCCTTCCCTAATTACTTATCCCCACCCTCACGAGTAATCCTCTTCATTTTTTTCTTGCCTCGGCTTATCTCATGTATAATTATACTGTTTTCATTGTTAATCATCTTGTTTTTCATCCATTGTCTTTGTTGGCCCTCATGTACCCTATATATATCCTGCTGTATCCATTCACCACATCATGCTTGAAAACAGTATACGTATCTACAACGAAACGTCGTTATTATACAATAAAGAAATTGGTCATCTATAAAGACTTTTTCCTATTACTTACAACTTCTACAATGCCTCTCAAACAGTTCACCTATTCACTCCACTCAGCGTGTATGTAGTTCCGTGTGCACGCCATGATAGTTCTCCTTGGTTAATGATCCGAAAGCTTCTCAGAAAACATTTCAATCGGTCGCATTTTAAAAGGAAATTATTACGAAATGTCTCGAACTGTCACGATGTATAATGACGTAAGTCACATGACAAGCACAGGAAGTAAATCTCAAACAACATGGCTGAAGGTGGAGCAGGTAAGCATTGATACTCGAAGGGTATTTGATTTTCTGTCCATATCCGTGTATCGCTGGTTAAGCTGGAGTGTGGGTGTGCAGAACTCTGTTGAAAAATGGCCTCAGCTGTCAACATTTGTTGAGTATAAATAACGCAGGAGTTTCAGACAAGGAGGGATGGTCACTGTGGATACTGACCAGTATACAAGTACATACGGCTACCTCAGTTACTGTTTCAAAAACATAATGTGGTGGCTACGATTCGCAACACCGCTGGTATTATTACAAATAGAATAATTATGTGGCCGTATATGTGTGACCTATTTCCACCAAGGACACCCGGGCGTATTCGGGTTACCAAACAGAAAGTAGGGAATTTTTTAACCCTCGATTTCAGCCGGGAAGTTGCGATATCTCGGAATTGTGAAATGGACTCTTCTCGCCTCGTTCAGTAACCGACCGTATACATTCGTCCCTTTTCGTAACCTTTAAGAAGTACAATGTATTCATAAAAAAAATCCCGATTATATAAATCGTTTATGGCATTATGTGATTGTTAAAAATCATAAAAACTATATATCGTCATATTGAAAGTACAAAGAATATAGCTAACAGAATTGTGTTGCCTAATGTGATGGTTTTAATTAGGATAATGGAGAGATTCAAATACACACACGTGGTATGTTTAAATAACGGCTCTCACTGGTCCAACTGAATGTATTTCTGACGATCTTGCGGACATGTTTTGGATATTGTACGTGCGCTTTTCAACATTTTTAGGACATATGATTACAAATTTATATGTAACAATATAGATTGTAACTAATAAACATCCCCAGATATGTGAAATATGACCCCCATTTTAAGAATAGAGTTTATTAGTCACACTGAAGGCCCGGGTTCGAGTGCCCACGTAGGTACAATGTGTGAAGCTCATTTCTGGTGTCCCTGCGGTGATGATGCTGGAATATAGCTAACAACAGCGTAAATCCCAACCCAACACACAAACTTGCCTATCAAGCAATTTATATATTCGTTACAATGGAAGTAAATAATTTTGCTTTACATTTATAGCAAAGAATGTCAAAGGGCAGTTTGATGTCACAGATTTCAAGGACACCTTCTTGGAATGCCCTGTATGTGTCGAACATTTCAACCAGACAAGTCGACGTCCCCGACTTCTCAATTCTTGTCTCCACGCCGTCTGTACAGCTTGTCTGCAGGCACTGATAACAAAAGAGGGAGGAAACCAGATCACTTGTCCATGGTGTCGACAGGTCCAGACCGTGAGAGGAAATGTCGATACATTGCAGATTGATCCAGTTCGGGATAAACTGACGGAATATGAACAGATGAAGATTGAAAAGAAAATCTTTTGCACTGATTGTCCAGATGAAAATGAAGCTGAGTCTAGATGTCAGGAATGTTCTTCTTACCTCTGTACCGCATGCCGTTCAGCACACAGACGCCTCCGCTTTTCAAAAGATCATACAATAATCACATTGGATGAATTATTCAGAGATCCCCAGGCAAACTTTAAAAGAAGTCATTTCTGCCAATACCACCCAGCTCAACAAATTGAGTTCTACTGCAACACTGATGAGCAGCTCTGCTGTGTTTCGTGTTGCGTTGTTGATCACAAAGACCACGAGATAAGGAAACTTGAAAATGCAGCAGACGCTGAAAGAGCGACGATAGAAAAACAAATTCAGCTTATTTCAAAGACGTCAGAGTTAACACAAAAAGCACTACAAAAAGGCGCACGACAGAAACAGACTATAACCAACATCACGGAACATAATGAAGCTGATATAACAACCTTATACAAAAGCTTGAAGGATGCAGTAGAATATGACCGAAAACGACAACTAGCAAATCTTAAAGAGAAGAGCCGTGTGGCATTGGCGACAGTACAAACTACAACCAAAGCTCATGAGCAAACCATGGCTAAGATTGAAGCAACACAGGGATATGTCACAAAACTGAAGGAGACGGCAGATGCTGTTGAGATGCTACAGATGTACCCTTCTATAATGAGGAGTATGAACGGGATCACGGAAGTTCCAGAATGTCAAGTTATTGATGTCACAAATCTCATATTTAAGGCAGATGCAACAACTTTGAAAATGAGTCTATCAGAATCTGCAGATAAGGCAATAGCTGAAGGTATGTATCTCCATGTAAATTTGACACCATTGGTGCGCATGTCCATCGGTCTTTAAATTTCCGTCTGATATCTAATGAGTTTCTTCAGATTACTTCAATATTAACAAGGTTTTAGGTTGGAATAGAGCTCATGCAGTATTTCTTCACAAACACATGATTCTAGATCCTGTAGTATTGGACTAACTTGGATCCAACTGGATAGTTACTTGATCCAGCATTTCTTCACATACATGATGTTAACATGCTGGTGTAGACTAATGGCTCAACAGTTAAAGACTCGGGTTTCGGTACAATGTGTGAAGCCCATTTCTGGTGTCGTGATGTTGCTGGAATATTGCTAAAAGCGGTGTAAAACCCGACTCACACTCTAAATGCTCTAAAGATAATTTAGAAATTATTGTAATGAATGGTTTCCGAGCTTATTTCAGAACTTAAATAATTGTTGAAAGTGTCGGGAGACGTCGACAATGATCTAGGATAAATGCATTTATTTGTCATCCCTATGAAGGGTATGGTTAATGCCAAAAGCTTGGTAAAACTATGTAGACCCATTCATCATTTCTACACATACAGGGAACGTGCAACAGAGAGAAATTTAACAGTTTGATTGCATCTGTATTTCAGTTGACCGCAAGAAACGGAAGCGTACATTCCCGGTAATGTATTATCCATATAAATGCAAATTCTCCAAAACTCACTTAACAAAACTGTTTTCTTGTACGTTAACATAGTATTATAGTTCATATATCGTGATACATGTCTATATTTTCCATCGTGTTTATAGCCCCAAGCTCAGCAGCAATCAATTATTAAACACGTCCACGCCAACCAGAAACTAATTAATCAAAGAAATATGTAGTGAGGTTTGTCGGCACCGGTCTTTATCTTGTACATCCCTTGGTAAAATGCTACCCGTGAAGGTCCGGGTTAGAATATTGGCCTTCAGTAACTCATGCTTGTCGTAAGGGGCGACTAACGGGATCGGGTGGTCAGGCTCGCTGACTTAATTGACACATGTCATCGGTTCCCAATTGCGAAGATCGATGTTCAAGCTGTTGATCACTGGATTGTCTGGTCCAGACTCGAATATTTACAGATAGCCGCCATAAAGCTCGAATATTGCTGAGTGCGGCATAAAATTAAACTCACTCACTTGATCAAATGCAAATTAGTATTCCCTTCCCAGCAGGTGCATGTTTTACCAGCCGTAAATAAAAATCAACTTTTGTTGAACAAAACTGAGATTGCCATCTCACCACACCTTTCTCATGTCGTAAATGCCATGATCAAGCGCTGATAGATATTTTGTTGTGTAGTAAACTTTGACACCAGAATATATATAATATACAATCTTTATTCGGATGACTTACCTTATTTGCCCAAATTATTATGTTGAGAAAATAAGGACTAAAATTACAAATGTAAATGTCTAATCTAAGCACTTCATGCAGTTTACCGTATATGCTCAACGCATGCATTTTGATAACTCAAGTTTACTTTTATACTAGTCATAAATCCTTACCGTAGTTAACGCAATAAACACTTCATACCGAAGTTGAATTGTTAAGAGCTCCTTTCCGCCCTTAAGAATCGGGACGGGTGGGGATACTGAAGCATAATCCGTCAAACTCCGTGGCCATTAGTAGAAAAAAACCTAAATTGTGATCGTAGTTAACATAATAGGCATGCCATATCGTAAATGAATTGCTAGGCGCTATTGTCCATTGTAGCTATCATTATTCTTTAATTTATTATTCATTTATTTATGTACAAGATTCTTAGTCACGATATGGCTGAAATACTGCCGAAGTGAGTATAAAATATTAACTCACTCACTCACTCATTAATTTATCTGTACTATTATGTAAGTTATCAGTACCGTTGTTGCTGAAGTAAACGTTACATTATTTGCCTTATGATTCTGTGCTCATTTACCGTCCATATTCTTTTATATCACACGTTGTTTATATCACCTGGCTTATATTGAAACAGTAGTATGATATCACTGATTATTACTAATATTGTAGTTCATTATTATGTATGGATTGGTGTATTTAGTAAACCTAAGGTTGGTTGGTTTTTTCATGCCGCACAATCCAGTGATTAATATCATGAGCACCGTTCTACGCAATTGCATACAATGACATGTGTCAACCAAGTCAGCGAGCCTGACCACCCGATCCTGTTAGACGCCTGTTACGACAAGCATGGATTACTGAAGATCAATTCTAACCCGGATCTTCACGGGTGGAGACAAGCATGGGTTACTGAAGACCAATTCTAACCCGGATCTTCACGGGTGGAGACAAGCATGGGTTACTGAAGATCAATTCTAACCCGGATCTTCACGGATGGAGACAAGCATGGGTTACTGAAGACCAATTCTAACCCGGATCTTCACGGGTGCAGACAAGCATGGGTTACTGAAGACCAATTCTAACCCGGATCTTCACGGGTGGAGACAAGCATGGGTTACTGAAGATCAATTCTAACCCGGATCTTCATGGGTGATAAACCTTCGGAACATCAAGCTCTCTCCCCTCTTGTTTCAAGGTCAGCTGGCTGTTTCCCCAAATCTGGACCTGGCAGTAGCTTCAGCTTGCAGAAAACACAAAGCTCTTTTACAGGATTATCAAAATCAAGGATTACGGACTGACATTGAATATTCCAAACTCCATAGAGGCAGATCTTGCCAGGGTTGGAATCATAACAGAATAGCAACGACACTGTAGAGTTATATCAAGCGCAAAAAGTTTGTTTTTTTCCTCATTTGTATCATACATTTCTTTCTGTTTTCATGGCTTAATAATTGTGAAGTACATGGACTGGTGCCAGTGCTTTGACATGTTCTCATTTATATATTTTTCAGACTTCATGGATTTCTTTTAAAGTACCAGGGAAGAGAACAGGAAGCAGTAATGACAAATAGATGGACATAAATCAGTATGTAGTGTCTTTTCTTTTTGACATTTTGAAACAAAACATGAGAATGTCTGGAGGAAGTGTTGTTCTTAGTCTTAGGTCACACTGACTATATAAATGAGATTTGGCCTAAGCTTTCGTAAATACACGAGACTATATTCCACGGTTTCGGGGACATGACTCCATATTTTCATTAATATTGCATGATAAATTACCCATAATTTTTCTCACGAAATTGGAAAGACATGACGTCTTTTTTTTTAATCAAACATTGCATGATAAATTACCAGTAATTTTTCTCACGAATATTCCATCAGGTTTAGAATCAAATGAATAGCCACACGCACCTCAGGCAACTCTTTTTTGCCGCCATTTTTTAATCAAAACACCTTTAGAAATGTAAAAAATGTATAAATATTAACTCAACAAAACTTTACATAAAAAAGCAGCACGATATTTTCACATACTTTTCAGCATTTTGATGCATGGCCCTCGTGCAGTTCATCTGCATAAGGTTTGCAGTTAGTTCCTCCGAGTTAATGGAGAAATTCTTCTTCTATGAAACCACATATATATACATAACATACAGTGAGTGCTTGAAGTGAGTCTAAACTTTTGATGGGTAGTATATTTTTGTCTCTGTGTCTTTGTTGATAGTTTTCAAGAACTATATCTGTTTTCAGGTTTGATGACTAGATGACAACTGGTTTGATGACTCGATGACAACTGGTTTGATGACTCGATGACTAGTTTGATGACAGATGACTGGTTTGATGACTAGATGACAACTGGTTTGATGACTAGATGATAACTAGTTTGATGACTAGATGACAACTGGTTTGATGACTAGATGATAACTGGTTTGATGACTAGATGACAACTGGTTTGGATACAGTCGGCTTTAAACTGAAGCGAAAGGCTGAGCTGTTGTTCTGAAAAATTGAAAATATTGATAATACTGTGTATCTTCATCATTTAAGGATAAATGGTTGCTCTTGCATTTGTGTATACAGCTCGATGTTTGTATTTGGGGTTTCAACATTAGCAAACTGAATGGTATATATTATTCATAACAGAATATCTTTTTGCAATTGTATTATTTAGTCTTCACGAAAGTAAAGTATGTATATGTGTATATATGGTCCGCTTCTTTATAGGTAATGGAAAGGGCGTTATATATTTGACAACCTATATATTTGCGTGTACAGTGTCTAGCTATTTATCATCATCAACATCATGTTGTGGTTAGATGTCAATACTGTCTCTTGAAATCCCATCTGATTCTGCTAGTGGTAAGTTTGATGATAATTCATAAATTGTATCAATTGTTAAAGTTATGTTAATTTGTTGTAACCCTGTAGTCAGGAGCATTGATTTGCATAGATTAAAGATAAAGATTCAGTGTGACAAAAGCACTCCAAAAGGGGTGATTTCAACTTTCCGATAGTCAACTTTCTTTTCATTTCGAGCAATATTCCTACAGGCTCAGCCTTTGGTGTTTACATTTCACAACTTTTGATGTACAATAGAGCATGTTCTTTTTACCAAATTTTCAAAGACGGTCATACCACTCTTGCTCAGAAGTTGTTTTACCAGAGTTACAACATTCAAGGCAAAATATATGTCCGATGCAGTTCCCTATGCTGACTTGTACAAGACGTTCCTGATATATACTACTCACACTTTGCCAAGGATCACAAACATTCCCAACTTAAATGAAGATGTATAATTTGAAATTGTTTCCATTTAAAGCTGGATAAATAATATGGTATCCCTTCTTTAGGCAAACAGCCACTTTATTCTAACCTTGTGCACTTGATACATGAGTAACCATAAAATGGTTTTCATAGCACCAATCAACCATTTTGCAAATCATGGCACGGGTCATTGACAAGTACACAACACCTGTCAATAGCAGGTATGGGATCGACAAGATGCAGTTACATACTGAAACCTTAGGATCCATGCTTACAATAAGCGCAGATATTTAAACCAAATTAGACCCCACATCATAGTTTTCTGTTGAATCAGTGGTTTGATCCTTAGAAAGGGTGAAAAGTATATTTCAGGTGAACACTTAACGTAAATAGACTTTGTATATGTTTATGACGGGTGCCACCGGTGGAGCAGGATACGCTCACCTTTTCACGTACATCTGGTATCATCACTATATCATAGAGATTCATAAATATATACTCTGTCATCGTATCGCATCGATTGTCTTATCCAGACTCGATTTGTAATGAAAACTAGGCCAAGGCATTGAATGGGAAGGCTGAGATGTTCACCAATGGTCAAGATTACTTTAATGGTTGTTCGTGTATCGTGATAGGTTTGGTTGGTTTATTGTTTAACACCGCACTCAGCAATATTCCAGCTATATGGCGGCGGTCTGTAAATAATCGTGTCTGGACCTGACAATCCAGTGATCAACAGCATGAGCACCGATCTACACAATTGCGATATGATGACATGTTTCAACCACGTCAGCGAGTCTGACCATCTGATACCGTTAGTCGCCATGGGTTGCTGAAGACCCGGAAGTTCACGGGTTCGTGTGTAATGAAGCACTGGCTGACCTCTAAGAGTCTTGTACTACATGTAGTAGTTTGAAAACTTCATCATTAAACACACAGCGCTTGTTTATGTGAACCTGGCACTCACAAGGGATCTGTTATCAAGCAGTCGATCCTTTGCTGTTGTGTTGGGTGGCATTTGGGTTGCAGTGGGTTTCCAATAATAATGACAAAGCTTGTTTACATTTGCCAGGAATCTTCGCTGAAGGGTCAGGTGAACGGTATGGATCAGTATCAAACAGTGATGACACCGGGTGTTCACTTATATGCATACATTACATGCTTGTATTATAATCCATGGAATTCTATAGTGCTTAACGCTTGGTGTCTGTTTACATTATTTCATGTCGGCTTAATTATGCTAAACGTGACAGTTATGCTATCAACTGTGTTTTAAAACTCTATTCATTGTTGTGATTGAAATATGCATTATCTAAGTTTTTTGCGTTTCAAAAATAAAGATCACAAAATCCGGTATGTATACTTTCTTGATTTTTTGCTCTTTGATATGTCTTCACATTGCATTATGTGAGATTTACATGTAAGACCTAATCAAGTCAATTTTTCTGTGATGAAATGATTCGAGACAACTGATAAGAGTGATTCTTTATCATGTTTTCTATTTTTGTCTTCCCTCTGTAAATAATTGATCCCGAAACAACATAATCCAGTGATCGATATTATGAGCGTCGATATAAATCTACAAGCTTTAAAGACATTGTCACGAACTTAAATCATGATACCACCCTGATTTCTTTATCCTATTGATGATTCTCAATATATTGTCAGTTTTAAAACCGAATAGAAAGCGATCATCCATGTCAGGCTGTAATTGCATATTACATGGACACAACGACTTTAAACTTATTGATCCACCCTGCGTATTCATCAGATTTAGCACCGTCACTGTTCTACTTTCTCCCGAATTTGAAGAACGAACTGCCTGGCAGTGTTACTCCACCACATGACATCCTTCGACACCAATGCATTCCACTCGTCATCGTTAAAATTTATCGTGACGAGAACAATTAATTGTTATACATAGTATGTGATGGTAAATCATAAAAACATGTCATCAAAGGACAGTAAAATAACTAGAATATCACATATATACAGCAGTTTAACTGTAGATGACAGCACAAAATAAAAACATGCTATAGATTGCCAACAACTAAAGGTAGATCACCATACTAGGGACCATTGGTGACAGCCTACACTGGAGAATTACGTAGAATCACCAGTCGATTTGGGTAACCTTGCCCTTATTTCCAAGGTCACCACGACGCTTTGACCACTTTTCAAACTCTTGTTAACGTGATATCTCATAAACTGTAGTGTCCAATGTTTTCAAATTTAGTGACAGCCTACATTACACAAACACCAGTTGATTTTGGTGACCTTGACCTCATTTTCAACGCGTGTACTGTTAACTGTTGTACCCAATGTTTTCACATTTGGTGACAGCCTACATTGGGGGATTACACAGACACCAGTTGATTTTGGTATTTGACCACTTTTCAAACTCTTAACGCAATATTTCATAAGGCATTGTCCCCATCGTCTTCAATTATGTTGACAGCCTACATTGGGTGATTATACAGTCAGGCATCTATTTTATGACCAAAATACAAAAGTAGTAAATATGTTATTAAATATTTCGTTGTTCTTTAGCGGCGGTGGACATTGCCATATTAGTGGCAAACACTTGTTTACTATAGCAAAGGATTTAACAAAGGATTCTAAACGTACCAAATGATCATTGGTATTTCGGTTTTTCATGAAAGCACATTGGATATTTGTTATAAGGTTATTGGTTTCAAGATACCAAGTTAATCTATTATTCACCATACGTTCCATGGTTTTACAGACACAGCTGTTTAGAGATATCGCTCTGTAATTCGATGGCTCTGTGTGATCCCGGCCAGGTTTTGGAATTGGGATTACAATAGCATTACGCCATGAAGGAGGAAAATTTCCAGACGTCCATATTTGATCAAACATATCTAAAAGTGTCAACAGACATGGTTCTGGTAAGTGTTTCAGGAGCTGATAATGTATATTGCCATCATCCGCTGCAGTGTCATGGTGAGTGTGTGTTTGAATGTAATGGATAGCAATCAAGGCGGCCCGTCTACACTACACAGGACTGGAGACAAAACAAGACGATCAGTACACAAGACTTGTTCCTAAATGGCAGGCTATATATATTTGATCAAATATGGACGTCTGGGAATTTTCCTCCTTCATGGAGCTGTTTGTGCTTCCCACTGGCGTGGTGGCAGCGCTGATGTTATCCACGTCTTCAGAGGTACTTCACAATATAAGTGAACAGTCACTCGCCTTATATCAATCATGCATGGCTTAATAAACCGCTAGACACAATGGCTAACACACATCGTGCACCGAAGCAGTGGTGTTTGACAAAGTCAGAGACAGTGAACTCTTTCGAAAACTGGAGGCAGAACATTATTTATACACTTTCCCTTGACCCAAACTTTGCTTCACTCCTCACCGCTATTGAGTGGGCTAAGAAAACACGTGCAGCAGCATTACGTGGCTTCGTGGATGATGGTAGGGACGTTAGGGGAGGCCTCACTGCACAACAGAAGGTTACCATGCTAGAGCTCATGCTCGGACAGATAGCCAACCATTGACCTGTCATATCAAGAAACACTATTGTTAAGAACTCCACTCTGTTGATGGGATATGGCAAACTATTAAGACTCCATTATGGATTTCAGTCCACTGGAGGGCGATTCCTCGATTTCACCTTGGTACCAACATAGACCATGACGATGATATGACCCCCACACTCGAGAACTTTGTTGTTTTGACGTGGTTGCGCTTGCTCCACCAAGATTTGCCGAAATAGGTGAAACAAAGGTATGGTACCGAATTACGATCAAGAACTTTAGCCCCCATCAAACCGGAAATATCTCAGGCACCCTTTCGCTGTTGGATGAGGTCCGTACTTCTGAAGAGGTTAAAGTAATGAGAGCTGCCACTTCTAGATAGATCAACAGACGTCTGAGACTAATCCGTCTCCACCTTTACAGCCCACTACCCATCACCAGCAAGCAAGCCCTTCTCCGGGCCCCTTTTCTGAAGCTGTTCACCTTGATCCAGATCACCAGTTCTCGAACGACATGAGAGACAAATTCCAAGAACTTCTACAGGAGTATGATGAGGTCTTCAACCCTACTATCTGTGGATATAACAACGCTTCAGGACCTTTTAAGGCAACCGTTAACATGGGACCTGTTCAACCACCCCAACGCAAAGGACGTGTTCCCCAGTGTTCAAGAGATAAACTCGTTGAGCTTCAGGAAACACATGGGTGTATTTGCCTCGAACACATGGGTGTATTTGCACGTCCTCAAGATATAGGAGTCTCCGTGGAATACCTAAATCCCTCCTTCCTGGTCAAGAAACAAAGCGGTGGATTTCGCCTAGTTACAGCATTCTCGGACGTCGGCAGGTATAGCAAACCCCAGCCCTCTCTCATGCCTGATGTAGACTCCACTCTTAGACACATCGCATCATGGAAATATATCATTACAACTGACCTTACGCTTGCCTTCCATCAAATACCTCTCGCCAAGAACTCTATGAAGTACTGTGGTGTCGTAACTCCATTCAAAGGAGTACGTGTTTATACCCGCTCTGCCATGCGTATGCCTGGGTCGGAAACGGCCCTCGAGGAGCTCATGTGCCGGGTTCTCGGCGACCTTCAACAAGAGGGCATTTTGGTTAAACTGGCTGATGACCTTTATTGTGGTTCGAACTCTATCCCTGAACTCTTGTCAAATTGGCGTCGTGTTCTAGACGCACTTTACCGAAACAACCTCCGCTTGTCAGCCTAGAAGACTTTCATCGCACCATCTTCTGTCAGTATCCTCGGATGGAGATGGAAGGAAGGTACCCTCACGGCTTGCTCTCATCGTGTATCTGCACTTGCTTCCTGCCCCCCACCAGAGCGTGTTACAGGGTTGAGATCCTTTATTGGGGCATACAAGGTCCTGGCACGTGTCCTTCCTAACTGTGCATCGTACATCGAGCTCTTGGATAATGCTCAGGCAGGCAAACAGTCGCAAGACAAAATTGCATGGACAGATATCCTCTGGGACACCTTTACAGCTGCCAAGGCTGCTCTCAACTCCACGAGAACAATAACTCTTCCTCGCCCAGCTGATCAGTTATGGATTGTCACCGACGGTTCAGTGAAGTGTAATGGGATCGGTGCCACAATACATGTGACAAGACAGGATAAGCCAAGAGTCGCTGGTTTCTTCAGTGCCAAGCTCCACTGTCGACACATAACATGGCTACCTTGTGAGATCGAAGCTCTCGCTATAGACGTAGCAACTAAACACTTCTCACCGTACCTCATCCAGTTCAAACACAAGGCTTGTATACTGACTGACAGCAAACCCTGCGTCCAAGCAAATGAGAAATTGTGTCGTGGTGAGTTTCAGCCAGCCCACGTGTATCAACTTTTCTCTCAACAGTCAGCCGTTATCAAGCCTCCGTCCGCCATCTATCTAGTAGTGCCAACATCCCTTCAGATTTCGCCAGTAGAAATGCCGCCGAATGCAAGGATGAACTTTGCCAAGTGTGTACGTTCATTAGAACTTCTGCCACCGTGTTGAAAGTATCTGCCCAGGATACTGTCAATGGGGACTCTAAACTGCCCTACACGAACGAGCGGCATGTACGCCATCAGCCCAGGATATTGTCAATGGGGAACTCTCCAGGAAGCTGCCCTGATGTCATGACATTAAGCGGTTGGTAACTCCTCGGGATGGGCACATTGTGAAGCCCATTTCTGGTGTCCCCTCGCCGCACATATACTTCTTTGGTTTGGTGGAGTATTGCTGGAATATTGCTAAATCGGCATGGGCGGCGTAATTTCGCATCCCCGCCGTGATATTGCTGGATATTGCTAAAAACGGCGTAAAACCAGCGTCACCACTCAGATACTTCTTTGCCCTAGATTTGGACAAAGCCGTCGAGCTCACCACCACCTCCTGTCATGTGTGCTCTTCTCTTGCAAGAATTCCTCACACGTTGGAGCAACAGTCTACAGGGCACCCTCCAGAATCTATCGGTCTTCTTTTTGCAGCTGATGTAATGAAAAGGGAGAGGCAACTTGTTCTTGTTGTGCGTGAATATGTAACTTTCAACACCGCTGCTTGCCTCATACAAGACGAGCGTCATGAATCCCTGCGAAATGCTCTCATCCAGCTGTGCATCCAGGTGAAACCTCTTGCTGGTCCCCTAGTGTAGTGAGAGTGGATCCTGCTCCTGGTTTTGTGACTCTAACAAACGACCCCCTACTCAAAAAACACAATCTCTGTTTGGAGGTAGGAAGAACCAGGAATCGTAACAATAACCCTGTGGCGGAGAGAGCGATTCAGGAGGTAGAAAAAGAACTGTTGTCTCAAGACCCTGTTGGTGGAGCCACTACTCCCCTATCTCTGGCCACAGCCGTAGCACGGCTGAACTCACGCATTCGCTCTCAAGGTTTATCAGCTAGAGAGATGCTCACGCAAAGGGATGAGTTCACTTCCCATATCTGATATGGAATTCATCATCAAACAGCATGAAAACAGACAGCTGAACCATCCCCATAGTGAAAAATCCAACGATTAGAACGATGCCTACACCTAACATCACTGTCGGTGAGCTGGTTTACCTGCATTCTGACGGTACTAAGTCGATGTCCCCCACTGACAGAAAATAGATAAACTTATTTATATCTGTATCGATTAATGATGATGTAAATCACATGACAAGCATATAGGAAGTAGATCTCTAACAACATGGCTGAAGGTGGAGCAGGTAAACATTTATACTCAAATAGTATTTGGTTTTGTGTCCATAGCCATGTATCTCGGGTTAAACTGCAGTAAGAATTTGAATAAATGACTTTTGTTGCAAACATTTGCCGAGTTTAAATAACGCAGGAGTTTCAGACAAGGAGGGATGGTCACTATGGATACTGACCAGTAAAGAAGTACGCTCTAACGGCTAACTCAGTTACTGTTTCAAAAACCTAATCTGGTGTCTACGATTCGCAACACCGCTGGTATTGTTACAAATAGAATGATTGTGTGACTGTATACGTGTGACCTATTTTCGCAGATAGCCGACTGACAGCGGGGTTTATTCGGGTTACCAAACAGAAAGTAGGAAACTTTCGAAGCCCCGATTTCAGCCCGGAAGTAGCGAATTGTGAGACTTGTGAAATGGACTCTTCTCGCCTCGTTCCGTAACCTACCGTATACATTCGTAGTCACTCGTCCCTTTTCGTAACCTTCAAGAAGAATAAACATACCCCAATTGCTTAAACCGTTTATGGCATTATGTGATTGTTAAAAATCATGAAAATTATATATCGTCATATTGAAAGTACAAAGAATATAGCTGACAGAATTGTGTTGCCTACTGTGAAGGTGCAATACGGATAATGGCATGGACCGTGAGAGATTCGAATAAACACACTTGCGTTTATATTACATACAACTGAGTTTATTTCTGTCGATCTTGCGGGCTTGTTTTGGACATTGTACGTGCGCTTTCCATAGTATTTAGGAAATATGATTATGAATTTATATATAACAATATATTTATATGTAACTAATAAACATCATCATAGATGTGAAATATGAGCCCAATATTTAAGAGTAAACTTTATCAGTCAGACCGAAGGCCCGGGTTCGAGTCCCCACATTGGTACAATGTGTGAAGCCCTTTTCTGGTGTGTGATATTACTGGAATATTGCTTAAAGCGGCGTAAAACCAACACTCTCACTCACTTGCCTATCAAGCAATTTATCTATTCGTAACAATGGAAGCAAATAATTTTGTTTTACATTTACAGCAAAGGGTTTCAAGATTGATGTGACAGATTTCAAGGACACCTTCTTGGAATGCCCTGTCTGTGTCGAACACTTCAACCAGACAAATCAACGTCCCCGACTTCTCAATTCGTGTCTCCACGCCTTCTGTACAGCTTGCCTGCAGACTCTGCTCACAAACGAGGGAGGAAACCAGATCACTTGTCCATTGTGTCGGCAGGTCCAGACCGTGAGAGGAAATGTCGACACATTGCAGATTGATCCAGTTCGGGATAAACTGACGGAATATGTACAGATGAAGATTGAAAAGAAAACCCTTTGCACAGATTGTCCAGATGAAAATGAAGCTGAGGCCAGATGTCAGGAATGCTCTTCTTACCTCTGTGCCGCTTGTCGTTCAGCACACAAACGCCACCGCATGACAAAAGACCATACAATAATCACCTTGGATGATCCTCAGGAAAACTTGAAAAGAGGTCACTTCTGCCAGTACCACCCAGCTCATCAAATTGAGTTCTACTGCAACACTGATGAGCAGCTCTGCTGTGTTTCGTGTTGCATTGGTGATCACAAAGACCATGTGGTAAAGAAACTTGAAAATGCAGCAGACACCAAAAGAGCGAAGGTAGAAAAAAAACTTCAGCTTATTTCAAAGGCGTCAGACTTAACACAAAAAGCTCTACAAAAAGGCGCACGACAGAAATGGACTATAACCAACATCACGGAACAGAGTGAAGCTGAAATAAACACCATATACAACAGCTTGAAGGATGCAGTAGAATATGACCGAAAACGACAACTAGCAAAGTTTGCAGAGAGAAGCCGTGAGGCATTGGCGACAGTACAAACTACAACCAGAGATCATCAGCAAACCATGGCTAAGATTGAAGCAACACAGGAATATCTCACAAAACTGAAGGAGACGGCAGATGCTGTTGAGATGCTACAGATGTACCCTTCTATAATTGGGAGTATGGACGGGATCACGGGAAGTGCAGTACGTCAAGTTATTGATGTCACAAATCTCAGATTTAAGGCAGACGCAACTGCTTTGAAAAAATGTCTATCTGAATTTACAGATCATGCTATCTCTGAAGGTATGTATCTCCGTTGAAACAAACCATTGATGCGCATGACCACCTGTCTTTAAATTTCCTATTTGAAATTTTCATAAATTTGATATGAAATGAGTCAAAACTTACATATATGTTCAGTATTTACACAGAATTTAGTTGGAATAGACCACATGCTGTACTTCTTCACAAACGTCTTCCCGATGCTGTTTGGGGCGGTAAGGCCGGATTGCCCAAGGGTACAGTGTATGAAACCCATTTCTGGTGCTCCAAAAGCTTGGTAAAACGATGTATACCCAGTCATCATTTCTACTTATACAGGAAACTTACAATGAAGAGACATTTAATCGTTTGTTTATGTCTGTATTTCAGTTGAAAAACACATTTTAAAGGTTACTTTTGATCGGGATTCTGGTATACGTCCTGCAGACATCATGGATTACTTTAACCGCATCACGGCATGTTCAGTGGAGACCGTCAAGCTGGAGGGCAGCAACACTGCTCTGGTTTATGTCAAAAGTAAAGGAGGTAAATGTATATCCATATAAATCTGAATACTCCACCAATCATTCAACTGTTGCCTATCAAGGACTATCAAGCCAATTACGGCCTGGCCTTGAATATCCAAAACGTTACGGAGGTGAATCTTGCCAAGATATTTATGATAACATAATTTCAACATACGCGAGTGAGTGAGTTACGATTTAAGTCACAGTATTTCAATATAAGAAACTGGAAAAACAATGGTAAGTTATATCAGAAACAAAAAGGTTTTTCTTCCCTATTATTCCCCGCAACGCGTTTTGCGGGGGTATTAAAATGAACTCCGTACGTCCGTGCACATTTGTCTTCTCCGGAGCATAACTCTAAAATAGTTCAATATTTCTTCACCAAACTTGGCACATAGATAGATCTGGTCCCGTTTTCTCGAAACAAACTTAAATCTGATTTTAGCTTAAGTTAGAGTTTTTACTCAAATTTGAGAAAATGCATTTCCCAGAATGAACTGAAATTGATATTAAACTCAAACATAGTAGACAATTTGAGTTTGGTGGATAGATTACCTAAGTTGTTTGGGCGTTTTTATTTTTAAAATGCACTTGAGTTAAAAATTCAGCTGTTTCAAATTGTCAAACTCAGTTTGAAATTTGAGTAAAAACTTAAGTTTGTTTCGAGAAATCGGGGCCAGGTGGTCTACTGGTGCCTTTAGTAGTTTTGGATTTCTGAATAAAATATTTTTTGCGTTTCCACGGCAACAAGTTTGACTTAGACTGAAACTGGTGGTAGTACTCTTTTGCGGAGCAGAACTCTAAAACCGTTCAATGTTTCTTCACCAAACTTGGCACATAGATAGATCTGGTGGTATACTGGTACCTTTTGATAGTTTGGGATTTCTGAATAAAATATTTTTTGCGTTTCCATGGCAACAAATTTGACTTACACTGAAATTGGTGGCAGTACTCTTTTGCGGAGCAGAACTCTAAAACCGTTCAATGTTTCTTCACCAAACTTGGCACATCGATAGGTCTGGTGGGGTACTGGTGCCTTTTGGTAGGATTTCTGAATAAAATATTTTTTTGTGTGTGTGTCCATGGCAACAAGTTTGACTTTGACTGTAGTTGGTGGTAATGCTCCTTTCTGGAACAGAACTTTGAAACCTTTCAATACTCTCCTTCCACTTAGCTATATACACGCCAAAACATTTGACATAGTCATAACTTGTAGACATATTCATGAAGAGTATTTTGCCATTGTCGGGGATATTGATGTTTTTGTCTTCTTGTTTGTATGATATTTGTTTCTGTTTTCATGGCCCAATAATTACTTAATACATTGATTTGTGCAAGTGCGTTGACATGACCTCTGTTTTATATGTTTCAGCCTTTAAAGCAGCGTTAAAAGACACCGTTCACTTCATCAATGGATCATTTGCAACAGCTAAAGCAGCCACTGTCCAGTAGATGGAAATTAATCTGTATGATGTGTCCTGAAGATAATAGGAAACAAAACATGAGAATGTCTGAAGGAAATCATTGTTTTCACTTTGTTAGGTCACACTGACTGAGTAAATACGATTTTGACCTGAGCCTTTGTGAATATATAATGCTGCATTATGCAATATCAGAATAGATGTAGTTTTATTGTATTATATTGAATATGAAGCACACGGTGTCTCGGTGTCTTTGGTCGCATCGGACAAACCTTATCTCAATATGTGGATGGACTGTCATTATGATCTTCCTGGTTTCAAGAAATACATCTGTTTTCATGCTTGATTACTTACAGGATAACTGATTTGGATGCAATCTGCTTTAAAAAAGCAACGAAGGCTGAACTGTTGGTTTAGAAAGTGAGTGAGTGAGTTTTAGTTTTACGCCGCACTCAGCAATATTCCAGCTATATGACGACGGTCTGTAAATAATCTTGGACCAGACAATCCAGTGATCAATTCAGTGATCATGGATCTGCGCAATTGGGAACCGATGACATGTGTCAACCAAGTCAGCGAGCCTGACAACCCGATCCCGTTAGTCGCCTCTTACGACAAGCATGGGTTTCTGAAGATCAATATTCTAAACCGGACCTTTACGGGTATGGTTTAGAAAGTAAATATATAATACTGTTTTCTTCACTGTCGAAGGCCAAAGGATACTCCCACATTTGAGTAGACATCTCGATTGCGGCATTTGCTGTTTTAACATTAATACTGATTGGTTTATAGTTCTTATAACAGTTATTGTTTTTGTGATTGTATTATTTAATATTCACGGACCTATAGTGTATATATTTCAATCTTTAATGCTATCATATATTAATAAACTGGAAAACCTTTATGTTTGTGTGTACAGTGATGAGTAGCTTAACAATACGTTGTTGGTGTATGTTAATACTGGTAATTTAAATCATGTCTGTTTCTGAAAATAATAATTTTGAATTAAATAATAAATTCAATCAATTATTACAGTTGCTTTCCGTGTTCATTTACTTACTTTAGTTAGTTTACTTTTATGTCAATTTGTTCTAATGTTGTAATAAATTGCATTTAAATTGATTTATTTTGACTTTTCATAGTTAATCTCTTGCATATCATTTGCACCCTAATCAGACTATTACCATCTTATTGATGTCTGTCTTCATAGAATCTGTGGTCGTAATGTGCTGTGTATACTCCTAAATGTTTTTGTAATGTTCACAAAAGGTAACGTAGAATTGCACGATAACACAAGAAGGGTGCGCTGTCGTCAAATATGTATATTGTAATTTGGCCAAGAACGTCAGCTTCAGGCATGTCGATGATTTCATGTCTTTCAGTAACCATCGAATAACCAATTCCCTTCCAACGTGAAATCAAGCAAACAAGTTTCATATTGAGATATATGCTTACAGATTTAGAGTGACAAAACTCTCTCCACAATGCTGTGTGACAAAAGTGATTATTTCAACTTTCCAATAGTCAACTTTCCTTTCATTTTGAGTAATATGCCAACAGCTCAGGTCTTTGGTGTTTACATTCCACAATTTTGAAGTACACTCGAGCGTGATCATTTTACCAAAATTTCAAATTCTTGCTCAGTAGTTGTTTGATCAAGGTGACAACATTCAAGGCCACAGTGAAGCTTTCAAAATGTTTCATGTAAGACGTAGAGGACATTTCAAAATGTGATGCATCAGTGACAAACATGATGTCAGATGCAATTCCCTATTTTGACTTATACCATACGTTCCCGAATTATTTCAGGTGAACAATTGACTAGACTTTGCATATGTTTATGACGGGTGACGCCAGTGAGGACAGATACGCTCACCTTCTTGCGAACACCTGGTATCATCACTATTTGATAGGCACCCATGAAGAGCCACCCCCGTTGCGAACCCGGGGAATATTTGGTCCACCAACCCGTTTGCCGTGGGTTGCGCCCCTGTGTCGGTGGAAGAAGGGAATCTGGTGGTTGAGGGCACTGGTTCCAGGAACAGTGTTCCTTTGCCCAACACACCACTTCCGCCCTAACTTCACCTAGACGGGTGGTAGAATGGGCCCGGTTCTACCAATCGGCTGGTCTTGTCGAGCCCTGTGCATTACTTGTATTTGCAAAAACATTATATTATGTACTACATTTTTGACTTTAGGTCTTGGCGCATTTTTGTTTATAAAGCATCACTTGATTTTGAAATATGTACTATTTAAATTGCCATGGGCCAATCTGGTAGAATAATTAATTCTTTAATATTTCTGCTGGTGTATATCATCTGGGTATCCTTGGTGCTGCAAGTTGGAGATCCACTTGTTTTTAGCATTGTCCTTGTGATACTCCGTGGTGGGTGGGGAGCTCGGATGATGAAATCTAACAAAATAACCATGGCTTATGAAACCCCAACCAAAAAAACCAAACGTCCTCTTGACAATGACCCTGTTGACAACGAGCTCAGACTGCCCAAACCAACTGATTACTGGCCAGGTTTTGTTGTCATTGAGACCAAAGATGATACACCATTAAAATTAAATCCTTTTGCTGTGTCTAAAGGTATCCAAGGCATTGCCGGCGATGTGAAGAACATTAAAAGATTACGTTCTGGTACGCTGTTAATTGAGTGTGGCAAGAGACAGCAATCAACCAAACTTTTGAACACTGAAACTTTTGTCGGCATTCCCGTCACCGTCACAGCTCACAAGACCCTTAACACGAGCAAGGGAATCGTTAGAGATCGTGAGCGATTGCTGGCTGACATGTCGGAACTAGATATCGTTTCCGAAATGAAGGATCAGGGTGTACTCTATGTTAAACGTTTTTCTACACGTAAAAACGATACAACTATCAAAACCAACACCTATCTGTTTTCCTTTTCTTTACCCATTGCTCCAAAATCTCTCAAGGCAGGTTATTGTACTTCAATGTGGAGACTTACATTCCAAACCCTCTTAGGTGCTTTAAATGTCAGAAGTTTGGCCACGGCGTAAATACTTGTACATTGTCTGTTGTGTGTGCTCACTGTGGTGAAAAGACACACACAACAGAAGATTGTAACAGTAATGTCAAAAAGTGCATCAACTGCGCAGAGAATCACCCAGCTTACTCTAAGGACTGTCCCGTATGGAAACAGCAAATGGCAATCAATCAAATAAAATTCACGCAAAACATTAGTTTTGCAGATGCCAAGAAACTAGTCCACGGCTCAGAACAGACAGACAGTTATGCTTCCATTGCCAGAACAACGGCTGAGGCAACATCTAGTATAGAGTAACTAAAGTATCTGCTAGTTGTCAGACAAACTTAACCTGGGTAAAAACAGAATCTCCTAAACCTGTCTCGCCTGCTACATCTACACAAACTGTAAACTCACTTCCTGGTACATCTCGAATCCAATCAGAGACATCCCCTGATCATGAACCATCTTCTCAGTCGTCCACAAAGTCTCAGCAAGGTCTCGTTAAAACCAAAATTAAAAAGCCAGATGTTTAAAAAACTCAGTGGCAGAGCCCCAAAGGGGTCGGAAGACCAAATTCAATTATTCAACAAATATGGATCTCTTGAGGATATGGACGTGTCCGAAAACGTCCGTAGTAGGGCACACAGCTTGTCGCCCACCAAAAAGTGCGGGGTAGATCCCCCAATAAATCCCCCCAAAAGATAGGTTATCAGAATAATATTATACAGGACAAATTTCAATGAACTGCAGCTTTTAGTCCAGGATTTAACACCATCAGCGTTCTGTCTGCAGGAGACCTATTTAAAACAGACAGATGCTTTTGTCCTGCGTTTGTTCAATGCATATCATTGTTTTTCACCTCCGGGTGACAGGGCCACTGGAGGATCTTCCATCCTAGTCCGACAGAACGTTATCCATAGCCCTATTTTACTTACTACTAATCTGCAGGCTGTTGCAGTGCGACTTACTTTAAACGTTGCGTTTACATAATGCTCTTTATATATCTCTCCGTCCTCAACGTTTCACAAACCCGATCTTCAAGCTCTATATGATCAACTGCCGAAACCATGTATTATCATGGGAGATTTAAATGGACACAATCCACTCTGGGGTGGTGCAACTACAGACGCTAAAGGTAAACTACTGGAGGAGTTTTGTTCAGATAATGATTTATGTATTTGTAATGATGGTTCCAACACTTATTTACATCCTGGTACAGGAACATATTCTGCTCTCGACTTGTCACTCACAAATTCAAAACTACTAAATGAATTTGAATGGTCAGTCCAGGATGACCTCTGTGGAAGTGACCATTTTCCCACTATACTAAAACCTGTAACTCCATCTGATGTTCCTCCCTCATCACGGCGGAATTTTAAAAAGGCTAACTGGGCTCTATATGAAACACTGTGTGCTGCAAAACTTAAACCTGAACATTTTATTGACGTTCCTGATGCTATCAAACGTTTTTCCGATGAACTGAACATCATAGCTGATGAGTGCATACCAAAGTCCTCTGCAATTCCACATATTCGAAACCCTTGGTTCAACGACGAGTGCAAACAAGCTAGGGAGGCAAGGAAAAAGCAGAACGTTATTTCCGTTGCCATCCTATGGTGCATAATTTAAACAAATTTAAAATTTAAAATGCTAAAGCGCGGCGTACATTTAAACAGAATAAACGCCAATCTTGGCAAAATTATGTATCCAAAATATATTCTCGAACGCCCATGTCCAAAGTATGGATGTTTCCACTTTTTATTGTATGGATTGTTTTCGTCACGATATGGCTGAGATATTGCCGATGTGACGTTAATAGTAACTCACTCACTCACTCCAAAGTATGGAACATGGTACAGAAAATTATAGGTAAAGGTACTGAATCTAGCGTCCATCATCTTAAACATGGAGATCAACTACTTACTGATAAATCAGATATTGCGAATAAACTGGGTGAAACTCTTGCTAAACACTCTTCCTCATCTAATTATGTGCCGAAATTCCAACAATATCAAAAACAACAAGAAAAGAAACGTATTAATTTCAATTCAGATAATGGGGAAGACTATAATGAACTATTTTCTATTCATGAGCTCCATACTGCTCTTGAACAAGCTCACGATACTGCTACAGGGGCTGATAACATACATTATCAACTCCTGAAGCACTTACCAGAATCTTGTCTAGAAACTCTTTTAAATATTTTTTATGATATTTGGACATCAGGTAACTTTCCTCCCTCATGGCGTGATGCTATAGTAGTACCAATACCTAAACCTGGACGTGATCATACAGATCCGTCAAAATTATCGACCTATTTCACTAACTAGCTGTGTTTGCAAAACCATGGAACGCATGATAAATAATCGACTTATTTGGTACTTGGA